TTATATTAATTAATAATTAATATTAGTAATATTTAAATTTTATTAATAACTTTTTGCAATTAATAGCATTAAATAATAATTAATATTAATGAGAATTTTAATTGGAAAAAAGTGACAATAAGTTAGCAAAACGCTACTCCAAATAAGATTTTAATAAGTAGCTTATGTACATTCAAACATGTACTCAAAAAAATAAGGTAGCTTATTTTTGTCAAACAATACCTTAATCTTATCGGTAAGCACAAACGACCCCTAAAACAGCAAATGACAAGTAATAAAAAGATTAAAAAAGACTACTTAAGCTCGATGATTTACATTTATCCCAAGATTGAAAAATTATTGCCTAGTTTCCGGGATCAAAAACTAACAAAAGAATTAACTAAGCGAACCCCGTATATTTCACTTAAATTAACATTTGGGGTAAGGATTTATGCAGACTTCACCTCTATCGCAATGAATAGAACGGTTGTATAGTCCGTACTGTGGTAAATGTCAAGAGCTATGACTCCATATTCACTAATGAATTTGAAGAAATTGGAGGTGAATATTCAGAACATCCCTGCTGCAGCCAATCCTTTGCACAAACAAGTGCTTCAAGAGTTGATGGATTTAGAGAACATCGATATCTATCCATTTTCTTACACCTCGTATCAAACACCGATTCTCGAGAAACCGTAGAAACCGGAATACACAAGATATCGATCGCCATTTTCGCAAGAGTCGGGTACCTTTGTCTGTTCAGTTTCCACCACCCCAAAACGTCAAAATCTTGCGTCCGTGGCAATACAGATTCTTCCAAATACTGATCTAATTCCGATTTTGTATTCTGATCACTTGTGCTCTCGGAGATATAAACATCGAAATCAGAGAGATCATCACTTGTTGAAAGAAGGATGTCGTCATCTGATTTCATTCCGTTCCCATTAACAACAAAGGTCGGTGGAGGAAGCATTTGTACGACGTAATCAAGAAAGAGTTCTTGAACACCATCTTGCACCAGTTTCATCTGGTTCTCCCCATCGTCACCGTAGATTCTTGAAAAACTGAACTCCACGAGCTTCATCTTGAATCGTGGATCCATGACGACCGCAATGGCAAGAACCAACGAGCAATCTTTCCAGTATTTATCGAATCTTTCATACATTGGCTTCGTCAAATTGCTAATAAACACATCTTCACTCATTGCTGCGTGTGTGAGCTCGAGCTGGATGTTCCACACGTCGTCGAAAAACACATTGGTGGTCGGATATGTAGGGCCCACCAAAAGATTAGCGGCATCGAATAAGAGTTTCAAGAAAATACATAGAATTTCGACTTCTTTCCATTCTTCCATTGATAGGGTTTCTCTATAATTTGGATCGAAAGCATCTAAGCAAGAAAATACCTCTTTTAATTCGGATGCCGCTACCAACATGTGATATGTGGTGTTCCATTCAGTTTGGTTGTCAAGATTGAGGCTTTTCGTACTCGGAACCTGAAGCTGTTGTTTCAGATCATTGAATCTTTCTTGGTGACTTTCGACCGTCACCACATACTTCACACTATCGCGAACTTTCTTAACGGTTTCCTTCATTGACGTTAAAGCATCTTGAGCAAGACGACCCAAAACACGAGCATAGCAACTCCCGATCAAGAGTTGACCGTTGAGAACTAGCGGGTTATTTACAAAAAGTAGACTTCTTAGGTTTCTTTTCATGGCTTCATTTGAAAAGGATTCATCAAGAGTTACCATAAATATCTTGGAGTCCAAATTCCAAGCGGAAATGCATGAAACAACGGCATGATTGAAAGCAGATTCAGAATCTGGAAACGGTAATAACACAACAGTAAGGATCTTTCGATGCAATTTCCAATTGTTATCGATGAACTGCCCTGTTATGCAGGCATAACATACGGTTTGATCCGTAGACCATATATCCAAAGAAAGGCTAACTCTTCCAGATATGCCGGAAATAAGATTCAAAAGAGACTGTTTTTCCTTTTGGTATAACCCGAGACAATCCCTTTGGATAGCATCAAGGGAAACAATCTTGAACTGAGGTTGAAGAGCTCTTACAGAATCCACAAAGCCCGGGTGTTCCCCAATTTCAAGTGGGTATTCATGCATAATTATCATCTTTGCAATTTTATGTCTGCAATAATCTTGATCAAAAGAGAAACTTGGTGTGCGAGATGTACGTCTATGGCGTTTTCTTGGGAGATCATCAACATTTTGGGCACCATTATCGTTGGAAACAAGGGTACATGAAGAATCTTGATTGCTTTTCTGATTAAGACGGCTTACCGGGCAAATTCCTAAGTCAATATGTCGTTTAAGGTGGCTAGTACCAGCTGGCTTTTTGCGTGAAATGTAAGCAAATGATTTCTTGCATTGCTTACAACAGGCTCTTGTACATTCTGCATCAATGGTCTCAATTGTAAAGTGTTCCCAGACAATGGACTTTTTTCTCCTGCGCTTGCTTTTCATTTGTTCATCAGCATCACAAAGTTCATTACTGTTTGAAGGGTTAGCCATCTATAAAGAAATTCTGAAATACAAGAAACCAACGTCAAAATGTGCAAACCCACGATTGAACTTTTACTAACTTGCATAAACGTAATGTCAAGTAGCTAACAAGATTCAGGCCACTTTCAAATTATGGATTTTATATCTGTGAGAGGTACAAGAAAGCACCTACAATTGTATTTCTCACAACAAGGATTAAACAATGGATTATCATGAAAACTTGATCTAGAAACAACTTGATACTAAAATGCAGGCAATAATCCAGAACAACTCGCAGGTGCGACTTACATATTAGCAAGGTCTACATAATAAGGACAAAGTTAGAAACAACATTATCGTAAAAATAAGGGAATATTAAACAATAGCAATTTCCAAGTCTGGTTTACCCCTTGTCTTCCGGCGAAATAAATGTCTACAATGCATGAAGGCAACTAAAAGAGACAGTTATATGATGCTTATGATAACAAAGTTATGGTATCATTGAGGTGAATATATGCCTAGCATGATCTGCTTTGGTAATGGGTTTTTTGGCAAATTTTATAAGCTTTATGAGAGTATTAGTAGTACTTCTCTTTACAGTATCTTTTTTATTATAAAAAACTAAAAGTCAAAGCCCAATAGCCCCAATATGTACTTTTAATTATTTAAAATCCAAAAAGCTAGTACTTTCTCCTCTCAATCAAAAAGTGTTGTTTGACCATTCCTTTTCCTCCGAGCAACCAATTTTTTCACACCCTCTCAACCTATATCACAGTTTCACTCTTTCCCCAGTCAAGTGAACCAACACCTCTTAGTAATTTAGTATTATATATATTGTATATAAATGTATATATATTTGTGTAGTATATATACATATTTTGGTGTATATATATTTCCACCTAGAGGCTTATGCCTCGCCTCATTGAGGGAAAATGCCTTGAGGTCCGATTCCGACTTTTAAAACCTTGTCTGCAGTTTGAGGAAAAGAAAACAAAAACAGCTCCTATCACTGCTCTTAACAATTTTACATTGATCTGTAAATTTATCACTACTGTCCTTTTATTGGCATTGTGTATTTGTTTGACAAAATTACACATTGATCTTTGTATATATCCAAATTACCTCCATTATAGAGCACATGATTGTATGAAAACAACTTACAACAATAGGTTACTGCAAATTAAACAAGAACTGTTTGATAGCCAGACAGATTGTTTTTTCAACTTCCATTATCCAAATTACCTCCATTATAGAGCACAAGGACGTTCCTAATCATATATACGAAATATAACAACAAGGAATATAATGCATTCTATTCTGCATTGGGGAATGGAAATCAACAAACAATAAACTAAATTTCACTGAAACACCACACCGGATCTTAATTCTTATCATGTTCACATTGAAAACAAAACAAATTCAATACAAAAAACTCGTAAATTATGAGTAGTTACACAAACACGAATAATGAACAATACACGTATTCATAAATATAATCCATTTACAGATAGTAATCATCTAGGAATCGAAGTTTTATATAAAACATGCATGAATTCAATGAAAATCTTACTGTTCAAACGGGAGATAACTCGGAAACAGAAAATAATTTCCCTGGAGAAATCTTCAAGCAATCCGACGGTAGGGTTTAAGGAATTCTGCTTAAATAACAGTAGAATTGTTTGAAAACAAGAACTTAAGAGGGGTTTTTTTGGAGGTTAATGAAGAATTGAAGATGAAAACGCAGATGATGGGCTTGGAATTTGGGGGTACGCTTAAACCCTAATAGTCCAAACTCCAAAGGGCTATTGAAAAACCTAATTTGGACTTTGGGTTTTAGCCCACTACCAATTTGATTTCTTCAAATCAAGACCGTCAAAATCAAACAATTATTTAAAAAAATTCATAATCAAAACTCAAAAAATTTCAAAAAAATTACATTCAACCTTAACATATTTTCTATTTTGAAGGTTACAATGTTAATTATATTATTAAAATTATAAAGGTACATATGCAATACAGTGAAATACATCTCGATTTTAATGTTTCATTTTTATTCTTTGTCTTTATGGATGTTATAATACGATTTTATGTGCTTTTGAAAAATTGATAATATTTATAATTTTGAATAAAATATAAATTTGAAAAAAAATCTCTAATTTTCTTACAAAATTTCTTTAATTTAATTTTTTATTATAATTTAATTTAATTTTTAATAACGAAGTAATTTTTTTAATAATATAATTCTTTTTACAAGGATAATATTTAAATATCTTGTTAGATAATCATTGTATTTTAATTTTTTTATATTTAAAATAAGAAGTTTATCTTGTATTTAATTATATGTATCTACAGTTAGTTACATAATTCAAACATTGAGTTATAATAAATTGTACATATGCGTATTTTACTTGTAATCTTAAATTTTAAGTAATATGCATCAAAAAGCAGCATTTCATGTATAAAAAATGGTTTCTAAAAGTTTATGTCAAATGTTTTATAATATAGTATAGATATTTCATACATTTAATAAGATAAAATATTATTTCCATTTTCATATATATTTAACATCAAAGTTTATTATTAGTAGAAATATAATAAAATTTTGTTCAATCATCTTCTAGAGTTCTCAAATTTGGATCAGTCTCTCTTATTGTTTTCTATTTTGAAGAATCTGTTACAGAATTTTTTGCCTAAAACCTTTATTTTCTCTATTTTGAAGAATTTGCTGGATAACGTGTTGTTTATCTTCTAGTTATTTTTATTTGTAGGTCACTTATACATTTTTGACAGTTATGTAAAAGTATAAATTTTCTAGTTTTTTTTCATTCAACGGATATAAAATTGTATGCTAAAATAGATGAAAAATAGAGAAACAGAAAAAATCTCCAACTTTGAACTAAAACTTAAGAACATCTCCAACAACTATGTTAAAATAGAGATTTTTGAGGGTTTTACTGTAACAGTTATGTTAAAATAGAGAAAAAAAAATGAAGGAGAAAAATAGAATTTTCAAGTTTAAAGAAATCTTTAAAACTTAATATTGAGAAGAAAGATTTTTATCAGACTTAATATTGAGAAAAATAGAATTCTTCAAAAAAATTATAACAATGTCAATCTCATTTGGTGGAGCAATATTAACCTGAACACTCATGGTTAACAATAATACCATATATCAGACTAAGTTTTGAACTTTAATCCCATTACAAAAACGATAATTCGAGTTTGAATCAACAACTATATTAGAAGGTTTGTAAAGATATATGATCGAGCTGAGTATTTTCTAACATTTTGGATTCTTTTCTTTTTTTTGTTATCATGTATACGTGTAAATGTCTGAACTGATACTAAAATGGTTCATTCGTAACCTTTTTCTTCCTAGATATATATTTTTCCGTCATGTATTAGTTCATTAGGGTTCATGAGATCTAGCCTCAATTGTAACGATAAAATACGACATTTTCATTTATGGAAACCGAAACCCATGTGTATGTCTTTCCTTTTTTTTGGCTCTTCGTAGTTTGGTACGAAGGACGATGCAACTCGGATATTTAAATAATTCAAATAAATTTATTCAAAAATTTATCGTTTAATTATTTTTGAATGTGTACTTATGCTGACAAAAAGTTAAAACGATTTTTATTTACTATTCATATTGTTTGTTCAAGACAAAAAATAATAGTTTATGTTAATTCATTCAGACAAATTACTTCTTTACAAGTAGCTTAATCGACATGTATACATGGCTTAATGGAAATAAAATCAAATGTTTATTAAATTAATGTCAAATAAACCATGTTCACAAGTGTAATAACCAAATCTGTAAATTAGTCCCAATACTTCTATCAAGTTTTTATCTAATTTACAGATTTGGTCCCTACACTTGCGGACCTGGTTAAAAAAATTCACTTTAACTCCTCTGCAAATTGAGAAGGTGTCACTTGCAAAGATAGTAATATTGTTAAAATTTTGGAAGAGAAATAACTAAAAGATTAAATCCAAACCTGAAAATGGTTAATTCTATTAATCTCCCCCGTAACAAATAACCATTTTATTGATTTAAGAAAAACTTGAAACAAAAATTGAAAAAACACCCTAAAAACGAGTGTTAATAATTTTTATGTGATTGGGCATGCATATAAGTTGGGTTGATACTTTGATACATTAAAATATTTTCATACGTAGGTTACCTTGAATATATTTTCTTTCTACTCATTATTTATTTATTCATCATCAATCAATTGATACAACTTATTCATACACTTTATATGTCATTCGACTGCTTTTTTTTTTAAATTCGTATTTATTATCACATTTATTGAACATATATACGAAAGAGTTATATATATGGATGGAGAGATTTAAAGTATATACGTATATGAAGAGGGGTAATGGTGTAATTATCTAACTTACATATTAATAAGAGACTTAACAAATGCTTTGTTTATCAAAATGCTCTTTTAGGCCAAACTGGTTAAATCGATTTATGGTCCTTGGGGGCTTATTAGATTAAGGTTACCTAATAACGTGTTCAATTCTTCTTGGATTTTTATTTTGAAAGCGGTTCAACAAGTGGACAATAATGGTATTTACCCTATTTCTTATTGCAAGGAAAAAGTGGATGATGGGAAGTCTACGTTTTTTCGGAGATGATGTTTGGTTGGGAGATTCCTCTTTTAAGGTGCAATTTCCGAGATCGATTGGTCTTGGGGGGATTGAGAATCCGTTTTGCGTAGATTGCCGAGAAGGGGGTGGAGGCATCGCAGATGTCTGCTTTATGGGAGATTCTCACTACAATCATGATCTCTGATCAAAGAGATAGATGGGTATGGTCCCTAGATGGTGCGGGTGAGTTCTCAATGGCTTCCGCTTACTCCAAATTTTTGGTGATTGGTCATTCTTCTACTAGATGGAATCGGGTTGTTTTTATCAAGATTAATGTATTTGTTTGGCGGTTGAGCTTGAACAAAATTCCAACTCGAGACAATCTTGATAAAAGAGGAATTGATGTGCATTTCCTCTTATGTCCGGTTAGGATTGGATATTGAATCAGTGAGTCATTTGTTCTTTTTTATCAAATGGCCCGGGATATTTGGAAACAAATTAATCAATGGTGAGGTTTGGACATTCCATAGTTTAATTCCAATTCAAAATGGACTGGGTGGTTGTTATCTTTGCGGTTGAAAAAAGTAGAGTCGGCTTGTTTAGAGACGATAGTTCTAACAGCTTTATGAGTTATTTGGACTTTTCGGAATGTGACTCTTTTTAGGCTTTCTAAGCCTAAGAAAGTAGGGTTGGGGGATAGTATTATGTCTCATTCGTTCTTCTACATCACAACCAGGAGTAGTAAGTTCAACATTAATTGGGTGTGTCAGTTATAAACCCCCCTTCTTACTATTTCTTACATGTAATTTGTCTTTCTAGTTTCATGATAGCTTTTTATAAGATCTCCGCCTTTCAAAAGAAAAGCTTAACAATTATATTAAATCCAAATAATAGAAAGACATCAGGTTCATCCGGTTAGGTTGTGTTGGGTTCAAATGACTCTAACCCAGATTCAACCCAATACTTACAATTTGCTGATCTATACATAACTGATTTATTTAAATAGTTTTATACATAATTAATGGTAAGATATAATATTTTAGAACGAAAAAAGGGGGGGAGATATATATAGAAGTACATGCATGCAGACGTATATGGTGGTAACAGCTTGGGTGCATTCTTAGGTTGTACCTTCGTACCCTCCCTAACATGTTACAATTCTGTCTCTCCCTTAACTTACTAACTTCCCATCTTTATTCACATTCACCTCTCTCTCCCACCAATTTTGTCCCTATCTATTTTCACTCATCCCCTTCTTTTTATTTCTTTCAAATATTTATTTCTTTTATATATATCCACACATTCGGATCACGTGAGACCAGCCTGTTTTTATGAGACCACTTTTTTACACTTGAAACTTCACAAAAAAATATTCAGTTTTTTTCCTGTGAACATTCGGTTTTTTTTATCTTCACAATTTTTTGTTGTGAAGTTTCAAGTGTAGGATGTCACGAAAAAACACGGGTCTCACATAAACCCAACCCTATATATATTAATATCGATAAAAGCATACATTTTTTTGAGAACATGTCTTAACACACATTAAAGATGCATTTACATGTTTGTTACTTTGGTCCAAATTAGGGTTTTTCAAAACAAATTTTGAAAAAACAGTCATCATCAAATAGTTTTCTACCTCGGAAGGACATCTCTAACCCTACGGTAAAAAATTCATTTTGCCGGTTTAGGAATTCCAACCGACAGGTAAAATAACGCATTTGCTGGAGATAGGAGAGTAATAGTATATGTATTTCTGTTCAAACAACATATATATTGTGTGGTTGGAGATGGATCTATTTTTTACTGTTATAATTGAAAATACCATTCAAGCATGGTTTTTGGTACGATTTTGATGTTGTTAATGTTATAAAGAAAAGTAATTAAGAAGACAGAAGAATCTGAGATTATGAGATTAATTACCGTTTTGAAATTAAAAGTTTAAACTTTTGAGACACAGCAGATCGATGTTGAAGGGTTGTTTATCGAACGCTTACCGGATAATTAATTATCAGTAAGAGAGTTACACTCACTTACCTTATCATGTAAGATTAGCGGCCATCAAAGTGGATAATTGATAAGCATCTTTAACTGGTATACATTTACCGGA